GGGGGGGGGGGGGGGAGAGAATGAGGCAAACAGAGACATGGAAAGAGAAAGAGGGAGAGGGAGAAAGGGATGGGATGCAGGTTTTTCCACGACAACCACATATTGTGAGATGTGCTTGAGGTTTACATGATGTAGGCGGGCAAGCGTGATGGTGGTGGGACCTCCGTCTGTCAACATTCACGAGCACAGGAACAGTAGCAGCACTACATACAAAAGCAGGTTGCGAGTCCGGAACCAGGTGGAGGTGACATCGCATCCTTTGAAACTTCTCTGGCAGGTTGACCGTCGCCTACATCATACTAGGATGTCGTGACACTCTCGAACGTATAGCACGTCACCGCAAGGCGTAACCCTCTGAGGTGTCCGCACCTCCGAAATTGCAACGCACGTGTCGGGCAGCAGTCGTGTCGATGAGATCCGCTAGGGAACAGACGTTCTCATAGCAACAACCTACGTGCATCCACTGTAACTCTCACCAAGACACGTCGCAGCTGTTGCAAAAGATCGAGAGTTACAGTGGTAGCTTACATCTGTGAGTAGCGCTGCCCGTGCTAGCTTACCCGTCCAGTTGTTGCAAAAGAGCGAGAAGGACCGGGGCGTTCGGCAGCCTGATGCCAATCTCTTTCCGTTTCCAGGTCTTCTTGTGGTGCTTGTGCTCGATCAGCATCCTCGGAACCTGCGCAAGAGGAGCCAATAGCCCACAGTAAAAAGAACATCGACTCTGAAATTTGTTGCTACAGTGCGACAGCAAAAAAACAACATTCGGAGACTGTCGCCCGGCTTGCACTGCTTTCGGCGTATCTGTGGAGTGGGGTCGAAACCCAACCCGTCGCAAATACGACATCTTTGCGACATTAAACATCTCGCGTAATGTGGGTATAACCCGTACCCGCGGTAGTAGGTACCACTTCTGCCCGGGAATATAAGGGACGTTTGGAGTTACACATATCACCGCCATTTGTCACTGTCTCGGGCGGCATAGCCTGCTGATTGCAACTTCGATTTGTTGTTTTGTGATCTGAGACCCTCAGGCATGAGAAGTCCACACAACTGCGATGTCGGTGCCTTGACATGCAGGTCTTGAAGGCACCAATTTTAAAGCAGAACGGCGGACAATGTACGCATACATCCCGGTTTGACCCGCCGGGACGTAGCGTTGCGGGTTTTCCGTTTCTTGTCCCAGCTTCCAGTCGTGGTGCTGTCTGTGGCATCCGAGGGGGGACCAAACCATTTCGCTCGCGTTTTCGCATGACGACCGTGCGTTGCATTAAAATCCCTGCGCTTGGTGATGTGAGAGCCTGGTCCGGTGAGAACCCGGCGTGCTCCGTCCCGGCTTTGTAGGGATGCGAGGTCAATGGTCTAACGACTACGGCATGCACGACTATGAGTACACCCCCNAGAACCCGGCGTGCTCCGTCCCGGCTTTGTAGGGATGCGAGGTCAATGGTCTAACGACTACGGCATGCACGGCTATGAGTACACCCCCACCCCCCACCCCCCTGGGCCGATTTTCGAAGCTCGATTACTCCACAACGAAGTGCATGTGCCAAGAACAAATGGTACGTTTTCGGAAAGGTCTCGGCGCGACGGTGCTCACGCCTGAATTTTCGGCACCGTCGCTGCTTTTGTCCTAGAGTCTTCGAGATCTGAAAATCGTTCAAGGGGGTGCGGTATCTTATTCAACGTACGGTGTACAACTCGTCCTACCTCATTGGTGGAAGGGAGAATGAAGGTGAAAGGCCCCGGCAAAGCTGCCTTCATCGTTTTGAATAGCGCCTGGGCAACACGCACAACAGATGCGAAAAGGACAGGTACAGAGAAGGGAAGGATACACGCCTTTGTGATCGAAGTGCTTCATAAATTGCAACATTTGCACGGACGAAGTGAAACGGGCAGAGAGTGCCACACGGGTATTGTAAACGCCGATCATCTAGCACTGCTGTGTAAAAAAATATATTGTTAAATCAACCAAAATTCATGTGTACTGTATTCGGAGAAATTGTCCCCCCAAAAAAGCGGCCGAGGTGGTTTTTACCTTGTCGATTCCCTTCGCATAGGTGTTCATAGTTGATATGTCCTTGCAGAGAAGGCTGAGCGGCTTGTGACGACCTTGTTCGTTCTTGATTTGCAGGATCTGCACGACGTAAGGGGACGGTTTCAACTATCTACAGCAAAATGAGAAACGCTTTTTCCGTGGGCGCTGTAAACAATCCGTGGTGAAAGACGCCACAAACGCTGGGAACGCTCGACAATGAAAGAAAAAGAGTACGTGGTCTGTTTTGTCCCGCCATGAACCAACGAGCTTACACTGACACTAACCAGTGGTAGCGCGACACCAACTACACATTCAGGCATTGTCTACGTGCGTCTGAAGCCAGAAAACACGTGCGAGCCATCGCTTCTAAAGGCGTCCTTTGCCAGTGAGGAATAAAGATATGTAGCGCCCGCGCTTGGGAAGTTCACGCTCAACACTATGTCAAAAGATAAGAACCCGAGCACCGTTAGTGAGCCCCGTCAAGATCCCCTGCAAATTAAAACCCATGTAGCGGCCATGTGTAACCCACAAGAGGAACTAAATACCCCAGCCTTGGCAAAAACTATCTTGTAGAGGTTCCTACGTGCGGGCACTAGCTGTACAAGCGATGACGGTACCAGCGCACTCCACAAAAAAAATATATCGGTGGCAATTGTGTCAAGACCCACCCTCTCGACGCCCTTGCGGCTGAGAATGTCGCACGCGAACGTGTAGCAGGTGTCGGTCGGGATTACCCCCACCCCTCCCTTCCGTAAAATGTTGCCCGCCTCGGTCAGCCTGCGTGTGGGAAGGAAGGGAAGGGTGCAGCGGCCGGAGGGAACGCAGAGGAGCGCCGGCGTATGAGGTGGTGCTCACAATCCTTGCTTGCCTTCAGGTGGCATGCATGCATCAACAGGGTGCCGTGCTTCGCTTCACCCCGTCCGAGTCTTCGGCGAGAGAACATGCGCTCCAGTGGCATCACCCTTCGTGTCCACGTTGGAGCTTCCTCTGCCGGCATTCTACTACCTGCATGCAACCGGGGTTCCTAGAGCTAGTACAACGCTCGCTGCTACTTGCTGTGTTCCGTTAAGCTACCAGCTAGCGCCATATTGGTACACGCGGCGAGAGGGATGCCCTTGTGTTAACTATAGCTACTCGTAGCATGGAATGATGCTTGAATATGGGGTGTGGATCTACGGAGATTTTTGTTGGTAGATTGCTGGGGGACAGAAGAGTTTCTACTTGGTTTCTTCGGATTCACTTCGATGGGTGATCGGGATTGCGTCACGGATGGGTCTCCTCTCTAGCACAAGACTTTCCCATCTCGGCCCTCGCTGCCCGAGTTGCCTTTCTCCACAAACCTGCAAGCTTCGGCCTACCCGGTTTACCCAAAAACACCTTGGAAGGGCATGTATCGACCACTAGAGTGTAGACGTTTCTTGAACGCATCGCTGACGAGATGCAGCACAATAGGAAAACACATCACACATGCGCCCATCCAAATGAAAACATGAAAAACCAGGTTGGTATCTAGAGATACGTGCCATTGCCCGGACGGGGCTCTTGTGACTTGTGTGCATACCTCCATGAGTCGCTCTCCAAGTTTTCGATTTGAATGTACAGAGCCGCCTTCTTCTGCTTCGTGCCCGCTCGGCCGGCAGCTGTCGCTGTCGCACCACCCTTCCCCCCTTGCCTGCCACCATCTCCCCGGCCTTTCTTACTCCTGGCCTTCATCGTTAACAGCGATCGGACCGGCGCTGCTCTTGATGCTCTGTCTGCTGTCATCCCTCTGGTCGTGAGGGAACATGCGCAAACCTTCTCGGTGCGCATGCGCGGAAGCCACCCTATCCGACCACCGACCGGGGTAGCCCAGCAAGCGACAGCATGGCCATAACGACGCCCGACTCCACAGCTAGGACTTTCCCCCTTTTTCCTTCGCGAGCCGCCGCCGCTGCTGCTGCTGCTGCTCTTGCGGTGGTGGCGATGTATACGGCATCCGCATGCCGAACAGGATGATGATGTTGCCGTTGATGCTACAACCAAGCAAACACACACGAACGTCATCACTCGACGCGCTGCTGCCAGGGGACTGTAGGGAGTGGTTTTTCGTGTCGCCATGACAATGGTGATGTAGATGTCGTCGGTAGGGGTCTCAGCTCTTGGGGCCTTGTTGGGCCTGCTGGTAGAGTGCCAAGTGTCCATGTGCCAACACGCGGCGCAATATAAGCATGTTCGTCTGCACGGGTTTGTTACGATGGTTGGAGGCGACAAGGATTTCTGGGTGTCGCAACGGTTTCACACACAGAGAAAGCACAAGGGAGCACCGAAATGCAACACCGGCGAAAGGTGCATGTGATTCTTTTCACCACGAGATGTCCGCCGCGAGAGACTGGGACATGCTGTCGAAGGGAATGATTGGTGTGCTGGAACACGAGGCCAAGGAGAGGGCGTCCAATCGAGATGCTATTGCGACTCTGAGAAGGTATTGCTCGTTGTTGGCCGGGCACGACGGAAAAAAATGCGGCGGAATTTGTTGTTGATATTCACCCTTCCTCTCCCAACGCGCCCACCTGACCTTTCGTTACCCCAAGCTTCTCCAAGAACGCAAAAAATATTTATGATGCCTCGCCACCGATGTGGTAGGTGTACATGGAAGTACCACGCGTGCACATGGTGCGTGCTACGTACACAAATACAGCAGTACTCTACACGTGCAATCCAATTGCACAGGAGTGATGCACGCATTTCACCAACGGCGGCATGCGCGTTAACATCATGATGACGCGCGCATGAATCTGTTGTTCGGAGAGCCTTGAGTGACGGAGAGGCCCATGCAGATACTGTGAATCAAAGAAGGGTGACCTGTCGGGAGCTCGGTCTCATGACGATCGACGTTATCCTGGATGCAACATCAAATGAGTGAACGACCTCGTGTTTTTGACCCACCGTCGTATCGATGTTGCTTTATTCTCCTCTTCCGCTGCGTTTTCTGTCGCACCTTTCGGGTTGACTGCTAGACGGTCCATGAAAAAATCGACCGGCAAGAACAAGGAAGGCGCTACATGTTCTGCTCCATCTAAACGGGCAGCCAAACCAGCACAGCACGCCACACGCGGAGCCTCCAGAGTAGCACAGCCGGCGGATGTCAGCGAAAATGCAACTACGAAGCGTTCGGAGCGGCGAGTCAGGAGGCTTAGGTCTCTTCCTGGTAGCGCCCCAAGGTAGTGAACCCTTGAACAGCAACGTATCGTGCTTTAGTCGGCATTCCATTCAAATTCGTCCCGTTGATTGAGCAACCCTGACTCTCTCCGCTAGGGGGATGACAACCACTAAGTATGGCCCTAACTACCCTTGATGAAATTATTATGCCTCCTTCCCTCCAACACAAGAACAGTAGAATCCGCCGGAAAGATTGGTGCGTGGATATCTCTGGACAAGCGTTATGACCGAAGCCTTCTCGGTCTTTCGTTTCACATCTCAGCAGACCAGGACCGGGTCCTTCAGACTCCCTCCCTCCCCGCCGAAGGAATAGCAGCGGTGTCGGTGCTAGCCCCAGCGTGGGTAGCTCGGGCGCTACCGTCGAGAACAACACCATCAGCAGCAACAATCCGCCACCGTCATCGCCGGCGGCGTCTGGAAACGGTGGCGGAGAT